TCCCCACCAGGTATAGGCTTTGGTATTAGACACCGGCAATGCCAGGTGCCCTGCACCAGCTCTATGGGAAGGTACACAAGTGCCAATTAATACTATGTTCATTTTCCATTAGAAAGAGCTGGGGAGTTAGATCCATGGCCTAGGAATGTCCTGAAGCTTTACTGTAACATGAGCATGATCCCCAACAATCGGGGGTGACATAAGAAATATCTAACAGATGGGGCTGGGGATTTAGCTCAGCGGCAAAGCGCCTGCCTGGCAAGTGCAAGGTCGTGAGTTCGGTTCCCGGTACCGGAGAAAAAACCAAAAAAAAAAAAAAAAACAAAAAAAAACAAAAGAAATATCTAACAGATTAAAGATAAAGTATTCCCAGTGACAGTGACAGGTAGCAGTAGGGTTCTGGAGGCCCCTCTGCATCTTGTGAAACCCAAACAAATCCTGGAAAAGTGGGATGGGGGCAGGGTGCAAAGGAGACTTTATCAACTGGATACTTGAACAGCTGACGTGGAGGTGCCAGTGGCACCCTGTGGTTATTGGCCTTCTCTACGCACTCCCGACACCCACTCTCAGCCCTCAAGACCTAAAATATGTGAGGACAAGTTGCACCCCTCTCTCTGCCCAGTCTTCCCATCTTAGTAAGTTTTTGAGGAAATTAAAAAAAGTCTCAATGTTTCCCCTTAATGATCTGAATTGGCGTGGAACACAAGCAAAATTCCACTGTTAAATAAACGCTAAAGAAAGTTGCCAAGTTAGCAGTAGATTTTGTAAGTGCCATAAAGTATAACAAAAAGAGGAAAAAAGTTCTGCTGAAGTTGTTGGATGGAGAGCTGAACTCAAGAACTAGAGCAGGAGCTTCCACATCTATCAGAGTCATTCAATTAAACAAACAAACCCCAAAGAGAAGTCCTCGAAGAAAATCACTTGATAGCACGTAATGAAAAACAAAACAAAACCAAACTTGTCTCTGACTTTTTTTGTTTAAATGAAAGGGCTGTTTAAAAAGATGACTGTAGAGTGTGTGCCACTTCTCCTGGATTTGCTGTGCAGAAGTGCATAAGTGTGAGTGATGTAGAGGTACTTGTTTATTATAGAGCACATTTCAATGCAGTAATCATAAATATTGCTAAGGTTGTGCTCTGTTGAAATATGACCTACATACTCTTGATTGTTTGTGTTACGTGATTTGTCTGACACCCATTACATTCTGGGTAATAGCAGCCATTTGTTGCTCTGCACAGCAGGCTCTTTTGACAAAAGAAAATAGGCAGCAATAAAAAAGCTATAGTCTGAATTACATTCTGCACAGAGCTGCACTGCTGAGAGTTTGTGCAAGTGTGTTAACAATGCTCTGAACTGCCTCTTGTCAGCCTTCAGCCTGTAATGGCCATCTGTCCTCGCATAAATCTGTCAAAACCTGCTAAGTTCAAGAGAGAGCATGGAATATACCTTGTACTGTCAACATCAAAATGTACACATTCCCCAGAAAATCAACACACAGGAAATAATCCGGAGGTTATGGGAGGCATTAGCTCTGTTGATTTAGGCTTGTGGCATGAAATTGAGAGCCCGGCGATTAGCGGGAAGATGAGCAAAGGTGGAGGCATTAAGGAACTGAGTACTGACCTCCCTGCTACCACAGGGGAAGAGATGGTGGGCACAGGAGGTGAAGTTAGAGAAACTCAACTAATTCTGGGGCAGTAAGGCGTTGTCTGTCCCATCAGCTGCTCTTAAAAGTTTGATACTATGTTAAGAGAAAAAAATGCTCTGCACGTTTGTTTTGTTTTGCCTTGTATCTCAACTATGTCTGGAGATAGATTTTTAATAAAGCACTTCGTGGTACAAAATCTTGTCATAGGTGAGATTTCTCAGTTTTGCACCGAGATATTTTTTGATTAAATATCTTTGGGAAAAGAGTAAAAGGTTCAGGAAATTATCGAAATTACTCTCTCCTACCCACCTATACATGAATCCCAAAGTATCTGCTATCCAGCGAGCAAGTAATACTTCTGTGGGTCAACAAGTGACACGAGCTGAAATTCATAGCCCTGATAATTTTCACTTATAGTACCATTTAGATTGTCTTTGAGTATTTCCATAGATAATAAGCAAATCTGAAAATAAACATATACTTATCTTAAATTTGAAATATTTACTTTTTTATAAAAGTGAACCATGAAGTCCTTGGGAGCTAAATCTCTGAGATATCAGCCTCTGGTGTACCATACCATCCAGCACACAGTAGGTGTTTTGTACAAATATCAGCTCAGCAGTCCCATGGCATCTAATTTGTGATGGAGAGAAAATGCTTTGTTTTTAATGCAAAGAAAGTACAATCAGCATGTGGTCACTTCCGAGAGCAATTTGAGAATCAGTTATTTAAGCAATAATAACCTGAGGTACCAGGACAAGGGTTTCAAATTTTCAAGACTAAAAAGAATTTCTATATTTAAAGTCCCTAGATAGCAGAGCTAATTTTAGAATTCATCTCTCTTTGATAGTGGCCTAATTTGGTGTTTCAGAAGTTTAGGGTTTCTTTTTATAAATCTAGCATGGCAGTCAAAACACATATATTTGGGAGTCCGAAAGGCAGTGTGAGGCCATGGTTCTCCATATGTGTCTGTGAGCCAGGTCTTTGAAAATATTTGCCCAGCTATCTAAATGGATCTTGGGCAGTTGAGATGTGAGATCCACTATGAAAGGAGAAGCAGGGAAAATAAGAGTAAAAATGAACAGGGAAACAGTGTTGGAAGGAACAAGTCGTGGCGACATCCTTCTAAGAGCTCATGATCCATTAGGAGAGACAAGACAGGATTCACATACAAAAGGAGATAAGCAAGAGTGTGTAGCAACATGTAAACCGCATGAAGTCACTGTGCCTCACAGTAAATTGTTAGAGAAATAAAAATCACCCTTAACTGGAGTGGTCATGGAAAGATTTATGAAGTTGAGTGTTAGAATGCTGAATACCTTTTCCTCCAGTTCAAGGGTTACATTATTTGGTGTGTTAGACTGGTATTTGTTCATGAAAGAGAGCATATTCATCATTATTTCTTAACTATCTTAGCCTCCCAAGAGGAATACTTGAGAACTTGCCACTTTTTTTCTGGGAGTCAGTACCCTTAACTTTTCCATGTTGGTAATTGAAGGTAGCTTGTGGTAGAAGTGAGTGTGTATGAATAGAAAGAAAGTACAGAAGGAAGACAAAATGAGAGAGAGAGAGAGAAAGAAAGAGAGAGAGAGGAAATTTGATCATATCCTCTAGTGTATCATATAGGAACTTTGTAGATGGAGTAAAAGACACTCATGTAGGAAAGATGAAGGAAAGTATCCCTCTGTCTTTGCATTTGCATTTTTCTTTCTGAACTTTCTGGGGCAGAATTCCAAAGTGAAACCCCTTCGCATTTATACCCCTTCTTCTTCTGGTGAGGTAATGTTAACCGTGAATGCGGAAAAGTACCAAATATTGGTGTAAAGTATCTAGTATGGGGGCAATCACCAATTTCTTTCACTCGTAATAAAAGTAGGAGAGCGAGGCAGCGTCTTTCCTTTTTGTATCAAAATTTCATGTGGCTTCCTGTGACCTACTTGGTTCTTGATATAATTTTTTTTTCCAGTAAGGTAAGATTTTTTTCCCTTGAAATCTGCAGTTGCCTTGAGTCTAACCTCAGGCTTGTTAGCAGACTTGAAGCTCTTTTTGCTGAATAGTGTTCGCCCGTCTTCTTAAATAGAAAGTGTATTGTAAACTAAAATGTTCCCTTGTAAGCATAAAGTCATTTGAACTCCAGTCTGCCCTTCTTCAAAGTGCCCTGGACTCTGGAGTCATTTCACAATGATTCTTCCTTGGTGTGATGGGATAAAACTTAGAGCTAATAACTGTGCTTCCCAGGCTTTCCTGCCTGGGCTTCTGGTGGAATTTTCTTTTCTTTTTTTTTTTTTTTGGTTGTTTTCCGGTATCAGGAATCGAACTCACGACCTTGCACTTGCCAGGCAGGTGCTGTGCCGCTGAGCTAAATCCCCAGCCCCAGCTAAATCCCCAGCCCCCTGGTGGAATTTTCTACCCTTCCATGGCAAAGTAGGAAAGGCAGGCACTGACAGGTGTTCCTCTTTCTCCCTTTCTCCCTTATTTAATTAGTTGCCCAAGCTTGGATTCATTTCAATCCTTCCGTCTCATCACCCGCACTGATGTTCTCTAAATAAAATGGTCCGTCGGCATGGCGATATTTACTGTCGCTGTTCACTTAGGTTTCTGTTGCAGAACCATATTTTAGACAGAATGTATTAGTTATGCTTACAAGAATGTATTATACCTACATTAGCCATGGTTTACTAAGTTAATGAGCTGTGGAGACAAAGAATCATTGGCGTCAAGTTGTGGAGTGACTCTAGTTCCGTGCATTGTCCTGGCTGTCAGATTTTCCTGAACTTATTTCGATACTGCCTGTGTCATTCCCACCCTGCCCAACGTTTACTGTCATTCCAGCTTTTTTTTTTTTTTCAGTTGCTGAATTCACTGGCTACAAGTTTAGACTTTCTTGATTGGACAAAGGGCCTTGAGTTGCTTGTATCCTCTGCATTCTCTTTACAGACTGATGCTACCAAGGCCACTCTGATTCCTGGATCCCATTGTGTCACTTTTCCATGAGACAGCCTATGCAATACCCTTGAAAATTCTAGCATTGGCAACAAGCAGGCCAGTGATGACATAGCCATGTTTTCTGGGCAGCAGGATTTGTTAGCTTCGGTGTTTGAAATACAAAGTACCACAGCTCTCCCTGCTTCCTGGCACTGTCCATCCATCTTTCGTGGGTGACAAAGGCTTAGGGGATGAGTCGGTTTTTCAAATCTTGTCATGAATTTTGATTCCTTCTTCTTCCACCAGTTTTAATCCTTGTCTGCAATCTTGGAAAAGTTAGGAAATGTGTCTTGTCATGTAAGAGCGTTACCTGTTTTTTTTTGCTCTCCTCCCTTTCTTTTTTATTCTTTTTTCTTTTTTGCCTTAGGCCTAACTCCACCTACAACTCCTCCTCATAAAGCCAACCAGGATAATCCTTTCAGGGCTTCTCCAAAGCCGAAGTCCTCTTGCAAGACCGTGGTGCCACCACCATCAAAGAAATCCCGGCACAGTGAGTCTTCTGGTACCCAAGCCAATAACTCCGCCAAGAAGGGGCCCGAGCAATCTGAGCTGTATGCACAGCTCAGCAAGTCCTCGGTGCTTGGAAGTGGACAAGAGGAGAGGAAGGCTAAGCGGCCCAGCCTACGGCTGTTTGGTGACCATGACTATTGTCAGTCCATTAATTCCAAAACGGAAATAATTATTAATATATCACAAGAGCTCCAAGACTCTAGACAACTAGACTATAAAGATGCCTCTTCTGCCTGGCAGGGGCAGATTTGTTCTTCCACAGATTCAGACCAGTGCTACCTGAGAGAGACTTTGGAGGCCAGCAAGCAGCTCTCTCCTGGCAGCACCAGAAAACAGCTCCAGGACCAGGAAATCCGAGCTGAGCTGAACAAGCACTTCGGTCATCCCAGTCAAGCTGTTTTTGACGACGAAGCAGACAAGACCAGTGAACTGAGGGACAGTGATTTCAGTAGCGAACAATTCTCCAAACTACCTATGTTTATAAATTCAGGACTAGCCATGGATGGCCTGTTTGATGACAGCGAGGATGAAAGTGATAAACTGAGCTACCCTTGGGATGGCACGCAATCCTATTCATTGTTTGATGTGTCGCCTTCTTGCTCTTCTTTTAACTCTCCGAGTAGAGATTCCGTGTCGTCACCCAAATCCTTATTTTCTCAAAGACCCCAAAGGATGCGCTCCCGTTCAAGGTCCTTTTCTCGACACAGGTCATGTTCCCGATCACCATATTCCAGATCAAGATCAAGGTCCCCAGGCAGTAGATCTTCTTCAAGGTAATCCTTGTCAAAACCTACTCAATGCCTAAGGTGTTTCCCAGAAGTTCAAAGAAAGTATTTAAACTCACAGCCAGCCCGGCCTGTTCACCACTCCATTCCAAGTACAGCCAGAGTCAACAATGACATTATATATCCTTTCTCTCTGTGTTCTCTTAAATAACTCAGCCTTGAGCACGGTGCCTTGAACCAGTCAGATCAGAAAGAGCAATTTGTAAGAAACTTGCTCATCTAACTTTTTCCATTACCTGTAGAGCTGCCTTGTGCCAGAATAGTTGAGATCCATGCAAGATAAAGCTGACAGTGTACCAGACCCGGTGTTCAGTGTTAACATCAATAAGAGACACACAGGCCGAACACATCACTTTCAGGCCTTGGAGCTGACTTGCTGATCACAAACTGTCTCCAGAAAATCTCATCAGTAGCTAGCAAAGGAAAGCCAGTTTATGTTGTGGAGTATTCCGGAAGATGTCCAGTAGTGCCCATAAGCCTGGAGTAAGTGGCAGTTGCAAAAGTCCCTTTGGTTTCTCTTCTCTCTCCCAGATCCTGCTACTACTATGAATCAAGCCTCTACAGACATCGCACACACAGAAACTCTCCCTTGTACGTGAGATCACGTTCAAGATCGCCCTACAGCCGTAGGCCCAGGTAATGAGGCCTTTTTCCTTTGCCTCTGGCTCCTTGTACCCTCCTCTCCTGTAGAGGACAAGAGCATCTAAATCCCTTCTCCCCTCCCCAAATTCTCATTTGTTTTGCCTGTACCAGTGGCGGTGGTTGACTTAATGATGAAGTTGTGTTTCCCAGGTATGACAGCTACGAGGCATATCAGCATGAAAGGCTGAAGAGAGAAGAATACCGAAAAGAGTCTGAGAAGCGGGAATCAGAAAGGGCCAAACAGAGGGAGAGGCAGAGACAGAAGGCAATTGTAAGCAGCACGGAGCTAACTCTCTCTTTAAAGGAGGGTTGCTTATTTTCCTGTGTGCTTTTCCTTTTTCTTTCTTTCTTTTTTTTTTTTTTTGGTAGATTAGAAAATAAACTAAAGCTAAGGCTTTGTTAAAATAGGCAATATTCAGCCTTTTGGTTTCAAAATATCAATGAGTTTTTGGTCCCTCTGAACACAGTTTATTGGAAAAAAATGTTAAGTCAGTACATTTCTGATTACAGTTGCATTTTGAAGTTCATTACTGTTTCCAAGTCTTGCTTTGAAAAATGAAGAGAATACAGATTTATTCGGTTGGATAATGGTTTCATCTGGACAGAGGATGAGTTTTGCTCTGTTTCTGGATGCTTGTTTTTCTGACTGGACAAAGAGGAGATAGTGCTGTTTGGTTTCAACTTTCATCTTTTTGACAGACTTGAGGATTGCGTTGTCCATGAAGAGCCCAGGTTTGTGTTAAATTTAAAGCAGGCTATAGAGGAAGATTTGCTAAGAAAGTCATCATTTCTTACTTATGATGGGGTCAACACCTAAGCAGATGCTGATAAACTACATTTCTATGAGCTACTTCTCAGTAACCCATTATGGTCTGTAACACTGTTTACCACAGGGTGTTATATTCCCTTGACATATAGACAGTGCTGATCTTTCTGTGTAAAGATCCAGGTTGTATAAAATGTGTTTGTTCTCTAAAAGTCAATATTTTTTCAGCAGTTGCTAATAAGTAGATTTTAACCCAGTTCCCCCCTGCTGCTTATCCACCTAGACCTTGGATGACAAAAATGAGATGCTATTATTGTCAACATTCAGTACAGGCTCATAGCAGACATTCCTAATCAATCACAGAACTCTGCACTTCTTGGTCTCATGGTGCCTTAGGGTCTTTCTTAACATGGCGCTCCAGGGAACCAAGACTAATCAATCAGATCTGGCATTTTTTTTTGGTTCATTGGACCTTCTGTCTATCTATGCTAGATGCTAAGAATCAGTTCATTAAAAAGTAGCATTTTCCATAACTGGCATATAAGCTAATTTGAGGCTTAGGGAAATTATTTTTTCACGATAAAGATTGTATTTCTGTGGTTCCTTTAAGAAAACTTACTAACATCAACAAAATTTTGAAAAAGAGCTGACTAATGGAGTAAAAATCGAGCATGAGCTAACAGTTATCAGCTGGAGGAAAAAGGTTAAATGAGAGGTTTGTTAATCACATGCACGCAGAGAAAAGGTAAAAGGAAGGGAGCTGTAACTGAACAGTTCGGCTAAAGTTCTGGGGTGTTTGTTACCACTTAATTTTGACTGAGTCAAAGGTCTTTGTGCAAATTACAACAAATTCCAAACAAATTTCAACAAATTGCAACCATTTCTCTCATTTTTCTCTAATTTCTCAAATGAGTTGTAATATTAGTATTTACCACAGTATCATTAGTTAACACTTACAAGGACTAATGAAAATTAAAAATTCAATTTTTCTAATATTGTTGTATCTAGTTAATCATCTATTCAAGAATTATAATAACTCACATTTATATAATGCCATATGGTTTACCAAGCCTTTTAATACGGTATATTATAGCTAATCATTACAAAGGCGAAGCATGTTAAGCAGGTATGTAAGAAAATATTTAAGTATTTGCAAATTCATATTTTCTAAAATCCTTGATCCTTCCCAAATAGGACCCTAAAGCAAAAAATAATAGTTTCATCATACATTTTCTCATTTCAGCAAAAAAGCACAATTCTAACCAAGCCAGGTTAATACTTTAATCAAAATAATGTAAATGAATGACATATATTTGTTTTTTCCCTCCCAAGGATAATTTAGTGCCAGGTATTTAATTTAGTGGCACAGTAAAGAAAGGAAAGAAAATGCCTTTTTTTGTTAGTTTGGCTCTTTCTTTCTTTTTTTTTTTTTTCTTTTGTTTCTTTTCCGGTACCAGGGATCAAACTCATGACCTCGCACTTGCCAGGCAGGTGCTTACACCACTGAGCTCTACCCCCAGCCTAGTTTAGCTCTTTCTAAATACATCAAATAGGGTCATTGGTCTAAATGACACAAAAACATTCTTGGGACCACCAGTAAATACTACTCTGCCTTCCTTTTGAGTCTCAGATGTTGACTAATTCTTTAGTTAATTCTTTGAGTAGGACAATGTCAACTTGGCTTTTATTACATTTATATACATTAACTAAATACTAGCAAGAATTTTATCCTTAGGGTTTATTTTAGGCTTTGCTTGTTAAATTCATAGTTTAAAAAAATTTAATACACAGACTGTTTACTAACACAGTGACTTATAGACACTAAGTACTTAGTAAAGAACCAGGACTTTCTGTTGAACCAGTTCCCTCCTGGACAGTTAACACAAATGCAAACTCCTTTTTCTCTGATGTACACTTGCCAGGTGATTGGCTTCTAAAATTAGATAAGACTTGGTCCCCAGGTTCAAAGGGCTTCAACTGTACTGGCAGATAAAAATGTATGAAGAGGCAATGCAGTGTGATAAATAAAAGGACTGTCAGAGGGTTCGTCTACAGGATTGTGGTGGTAAATGGATACACACCTAGACATGAATGAGGAAGGGCATCCCCAGCGAGGGTGAGAATGATCCGAATTATAAAGGTAGGGAGAGCAAAGACTTTCTACATTGGCAACGACTGATATGGTAACCATTAACCACATGAGTAGTTTGGTTAGGTAGCATAAAGATAACACTCTGTGATGGGGTTTAAAGACTTAGTATAAAGCATAGGGAAAAGTATCTAGTTAGTATTTTTATATCAATCACAAATTGATGTGATATTTTAAATCTATTGAGCTAAATAAATTACATTAGAATTAAATTTTCAGTTTCTTTTTTACTTATTTAAATATGACTCTTAGGAATTTTAAAATTATATATGCTGCATTATAATTTTATCGAGTATTGCTGTTTTAGGGAAAAACTATACAGCCTATTTCAGAAAAATAGTTGAATTTGTTGGGAGACTACTATTTATTTCACCACAACCCTGGGGCACAACGAACTTTAAGAAATAAGCCCAGATGGGGTCAATGGAAGGCTTATTTTTGTGGGTCTTCTAACTCATGCTAAAGACTTTGAAATCTGCTTTGAAGACAGACTGGACCTATTTAAAGAGCTTAACCCGCAGGAAGACTTTTGATTGATTTCCTTTCTCCAAATGGTCTATTTGCTAGCACCATAATGCACTGATAAAATATATTTTATGGACTTGAGCACAGGGATACATGCAATGATTTTTGACTCATTTGACTAAATTTGTTTAAAAATTCATTCAGAAAGCAGCTAAGTGAACCGGGACATGCCACCTAAATTGGCTGAGTAGATAACTTTCATTCAGTTTTTGAGACAGCTGGAAAGTAAGTAATAAGTAGTAAATTACATCTAAAATATGTTGGATGTGATGCTAGGTTAATTATTGATCGGAGCAGTCATATACTGAGGGGACCCAAGGGGCCAAAAGGAGATCTCTTAAAAAGCATTTGCAGTATAATCATTGATATTTGACAAAAATTAGTCTTTTCTATTTATCTCATGGGCTGTATTGCATTTATTTTGAATTTCATAAGAGAAAAATGGTACAAGAAGTCTATAAGTGTTTCATTGCTTGAGTTTCTAGAAGTCTTCCTGGAGCTCCATGTGGGTGCACCAAATCAGAAAGCTAAGAGAACTCTAATCAGGAGTAGTTACTAAAAACACCATGTATTATGATGGAATATCACCACTATTTCAATGCTCCTTTCATACAAAACTTTTTCTCAAAAACCAACTCGCTCTGCCTTTCGCTGGCCCTGAAACTTGAAATAACTCAGATTACAGCAGGACTCTGCACAATTTAGTACTTAATGTTGAAACTGTCACTGCTTTAATTTCTTGTTGAATTTTAAGTCCAACTCCATTTGCAATCTGTACAATTTCCTGCCAGAAAACACGATAATGGGATGTTAATTTAAAGGACAAATCCAGACATTATTATATGGCTCAGTGCTTAAAACCAAACCCACATGTGCATGGGCAATGACTGTGCCAGTTCATAGTTCTTCTCTGCCGGTCAGTATACAGCCCAGGAGCCAGGAGCAGTATATCATTGCTGCTGCTGCTGTACTGCTTGCAAATGATACAAAAAATTACATGATTTTGTTATTCTTTTGGAAACAATAAATTCATTGAATCAGTTTTCTATTCAAGCCTTTTTTGTATTGCTGGGGTACTCAAGACTCTTGATAAAAATATTTCATGTGGGTGGGTACAGGTTATATGATGATTTTAAATTGAGTATTTGGAAATTTTCAGCTTCATAGAAAGATGAATAAGTTCTTGAAACCCATTGTACATCATCCCTATGGTTAAATATGGCAGTGTATATGTTGAATTATGTAATAAAGTCAGAACTTATGTTAAATGTTTCTTATGTTAAATGTTCTAGAGAGAGAGGAAAAGGGGAGGGGAGAGAAAAGGAAAGGTGGATAAAGGTGGAGAGCGAGAGAGAGAGAGAGAGAGAGAGAGAGAGAGAGAGAGAGAGACTGAAAGAGCAGAGACAAAGACAGAGACAATGACAGAGAGAGAAAGAGACAGAGAAACAAAACCCCACAAGAGAACACAACAAAATTTTTGGAGATGGTAGATACAAATTTAGTACCTTCATTATAGTGATGGAACGGTAGATGCATACAGATGTCCAAATTCATCAAAATGTAGACATTAAATATTTTCACATTTTGTATACCAATTATGCTTCAACAGAGCATTTTAAAAGGAAATTATATGTTCAAGCTGTAGCCTTTTTATTTTAAAGAGAATAAAAAATACAATAAAAATGATACAGAATTTCAAAAGAAGGTGATAGGAAATTAAAGATGGTTATTCTATGGCATAATATTATTTTCAAAGTAACTGCTTGGATTACCAGACATAAGCATGAAACATTGATCAAAGAATATAAGTATTAACTGTTCCTTTCAATGA